CACGACTCTGGACGTGGGCGGCTGGCAGGTCGTCGTCACCGACGGGCACGTGGTGGTGCCCGAGGGCATGACGCACCTGCCGGACAAGGCGTTCCAGGACCGCACCTCTCTCGTCTCGGTCGCCTTCCCGCGCAGCCTTGCCTCCATCGGCAGCAGCGCCTTCGAGGGCTGCTCCTCGCTCTCCTCCATCGACCTCCCTGCCAGCCTCACCGCCATCAACAACCACGCCTTCCGCCGCTGCTCCGCCCTCTCCTCCGTCACCCTCCCCGCCGGCCTCACCTCCATCGGCATGGGCGCCTTCGCCCACTGCCCCTTCATCACCACCGTCACCTTCCCCGCCGGCCTCACCTCCATCGGCCCCAGCGCCTTCCACCTCTGCTCCTCTCTCAACCACGTCACCCTCCCCGCCGGTCTCACCTTCATCGGCGAGGCCGCCTTCTTCCGCTGCTCCTCTCTCACCCGTGTCACCTTCCCTGCCGGCCTCACTTCCATCAGCTGCGCTGTCTTTTCCGGCTGCTCCGCCCTCGCCCGCGTCATCCTCCCCGCCGGTCTCACCTCCATCGGCGACTGCGCCTTCGACGCCTGCGAGGCCCTCGGCTCCGTCACCCTCCCCGCCAGCCTTACCTCCATCGGCGAAGCCGCCTTCGAAGGCTGCCCCTCGCTCGCCTCCGTCACCGTGCCAACCACCTGCGAGATCGGCGACGCGGCCTTCGACCCCACGACTACCGTCGTCCGCCTCTCGCCTGCGAGCATGTGCGCGCAGGCTAGGGCGGCGGAGGCGGCGGCAAGAGAGGCCGAGATGGCGGAGGCGGCGGCGGCGGCGGATCGGAACGCGGAAGCGCTTCTGGCGGATGAGGAGGCGGAGAAGGAGGCGGAGCAGCGCGCCAAGGAGCGCAAGGCCAAGAAGAAGAAGAAGAAGAAGGGCAGCGGCGGAGGGAGCGGCGCTGGGCCGTCGCAGGAGCCGGAAGGCGAGGAGGCGGAGGCGGTTGCGGCGGCGGAGGGGGGGGCGATGGCGGCGGCGGAGGAGGCGGAGCTGGCGGCGGCGCTCCAGGAGAGCGCGAGGCTGGAGGAGGAGAGGCGGGTGGCGGAGGAGCAGCCGCCCCAGCCAGAGCAGGCGCCGCCGAGAGAGGAGGAGCCGCCCCAGCCAGAGGCGCCGCCGAGGGAGGAGGAGCCGCCGCCGGCCGACTTCATCTGCCCCATCACGACCGAGGTGATGAGCGACCCGGTGATGGCGACGGACGGCCATTCCTACGAGCGGAAGCAGATCGAGCGCTGGCTCACGACCAAGTCGACGAGCCCGATGACGGGCGAGGCGCTCGAGCATAGCATCCTCACCCCAAACCACGCGCTGCGTGGGCGGATTCGAGAGTGGCAAGAGGCGCATCGTTGAGCGGTTTCAAGGAATTTTCCGCACACTCCCAGGCGAAAGAAAAGTCTCGAACCACAACAATTATGGCCCTCGACTCACTCGACTGTCTCGTCCTGACTCCTTCGCAGTCCTGACTCCTGTCTGGCACAGGCAGGCCGGACTTCCGTTCACTGTGTTCTTTCTCCAGACTCTCGGGGTCGCGCGCTATGTGTAAACATATCGACCACACGAGAGGTCGTAGGACGCAGAAGAAGCGGCGCCCCGAACGGATTGCACCGGCGCCCCTCGGTCTCCACAAAAGCCTTCGAGACGCTGGTCATGCACAGCCCGGGCCGCCACCGGTGAGCAGGTCTAGGCCACGCGAGGCGATCAGCTGGCCCAGCGGGACGGCGAGCTTCTCGTGCTCTGCTGCCGACGCGCCCATCACCCCTACTACGCGCCGCCGCCTGCGCGCCGCCATCGGACCCGGGTTTGAGATATAACTACGCCGGTGAGCTGTGAACAGACGATTTCGGGCCCGGGGTTGTGCGTTTATGTGAACAGACGCACTTGCCTTGGGGGCAAGTACCCAAATCCGCTAG